GTTTGCATAAATTATTCAACTATTTACAGTTATTCATGCTGAAGTGAGATGTGTTGCAGAAATACTTTACATAGACCACATTATATATGTATGTATATTAAATGTGTTATTATTATCATTCATGCACGTTTCTATATGCAGTATAATGATTATGCAGTTTTTTATTTTCTCAAAAAGCAAAAATAAAACCATTAAAAGTACATCAGTGATGATATTTAAAAATAATTTTAAGTTTAAACATCCAATAACTGATATAATTTGAATGGTATAATTCTGCTTTTTGTGAAAATAAATACATAATTTTTAAATAACCAATATAAATTGTTAATGGTTTTATTTATTTCTCTTTTTTAAAAATGCATTACATTTAAAATATTAATATAAAAAATATAGAATTATAATTTTTTTTTGTGAAAATAAATACTACATTGTTTAAACATCCAATAACCAATAAATTCTTTTAATGGTTGTATTGATGTTTTTCTGTAAAAAACTACATTGTTTAAACAACCAATAATATAATTTTTTAATGGTTTATTTCCGCGTTTTGTGAAAATAGAAACTACATATCCACTATACTGCAACAATAGAAACATATGCATAATCAGCACTCGTTGTTAAATGTAGGTCAATCATTTACTACACTAGATACAAATCAAGCTAACATTACTTTCTAATTTGCACAGCGATGCTGCACATAAGGCAGCATTATGCACTAAATGAAGGCACGAGCAAGGTCCATTGAGACTCACAGTAGTTTTCTCTCAGCTGCAGGCTTTCGGTCATGTGCTCCTCTCTGTCCTGCATCACATGCAACAGTGTGCGTTACAATTCAGGCAACACGCAACACACAGAGAACGACTTGATTACACTTACACAAGCCTGCTGGGAGAAAACACTCTGCAGAGCCTGCGGCGCTGATGGCCAGCTCTATCAATGTGGTTCAGACTTATAGGCAATATTTACTTTTATATGGATTTATTTTTATTTTTGCATGGACACCAATGGGGGGTCAATTTACAACACAGCAGGAGGGTTAAATGATCAGATTCAGAAATTGATTCAAATGTTCCAGTTTACTCGGTTCAGAAATGTTAAAATATTACTGGGAACATCTAGTCATCTTGTTGAGAGGTTGAGATTTGTAGTCTTTTTTTATAATTAAATAATTATGGCCAATAACTGCTTGGACAGCCGATATTACAAATATTTATTATACAGCATCAAATACTTCATTCTGATTTGTCAATCTGAATATTATGTTTGTGTTTGTGTGTGAGTGTGTGTGTGAGTTTGTGTGTGTTTGTGT